ATCTGTGATTCAAATTGGTGGCTGTACAGCCAGGTAGAGAGTGAAAGGGGTAGTGAAGAGGGCTGTTAAGTCCATTGCTGTCAATTTTTAACGATCAGGGAGGGGCCTGAGGACTGGTTCAGCACAATAAACCCAGTCTGTCTGGTTTCAGGGGTTACTGCTGAAGAGGTTGCAGCTGCACTGACTCGAATAGCCTGGAGACTTCAGAACTGTAATTACCAACCAGGCTGCTCACAGTGTGGCAAAAGTGGGCTCCACCAGCGTTTAACTCCTTGTGTGCTGACACATCATCGCTCTTTCCCCACCCCTGGGCTTCCCAGCCTCAGCGGGGACTCCCAGGCAGCCTCCCCAGAGGTAACTGAGGCTCACTGGCTGCTTGCCAGAGTGTGCCAGGCAGCAAGCCGTTTTCCTGAGGTCCTATGTAAAGAAATGGCGGGGAGGTGGTTGGTGATGTGGCAGCAGCCTCAGCTCCTGGTGTGCTCACATGTGCCCTGGGGTGAGAGGTCAGGCTGCAGAGCCTGGTGAACCTTGGTTTGAATCCTCAGGATAAGGCTCTTCCCTATCCGGCCGGGCTGTTACAAAGATCCAATGAGATACAGTGTCTGCAAAGCACCAAGCATACATAGGCTGTCTGTGAGCCTCCACCTCTCTGCCCCTGGGTCTGGTGCCTTTCACAGAAGAGGAAGGCATCCCTGGCAGGGGATCTGGTTCAGGAAAGCTTTCCGTGAACCCTCTGTGTTTCAGCTCTCAGGGAGTGCCCTTGTTCCCAAGCATCTGTCATTTGTCATCCAAGGAGGGTGGGCAGACCCATCCTTCCTTCTCTTAGGCAAGAGGCACTGGGCTAGACACAGGGTAAGGAGAGGAGGCAAGAACTCCTCCAGTGCTGTGGCCTTCAGAACTGGTTAAAGGCAGGGGTGGCACCAAGGGAAGGGAGGGGTGGTGGGAAGGTGGAGAGGCAGGATGGCAGGGAGAAGGCAGCCAGCATGGTGTGAAAAGAGCATGGGCAGCTGGAAGGACGGTGTGGGAAGGATGTGCAGGACTCCATGGCCCTCCTCCTGGAGGGAATGTAACCCTAGAGACATTCTCCATGTGTCTGTGAAGGGGTGTGCCCAGGAACGCTTGTCCCAGCATTGTTCCTGGTAGCGGGAGTTGCAGGCAGCCTCTGCGTCCACACCAGCACAGAGAGGAAAATGTGATGGAAGCCAAGCATGGAATACTAGGCAGCAGTAAGAAGCAAAGAGCTGGATGTGCACACAGCAGCAGGAATAGGTCCTGCATAAAAAAAAGTGAGACATAATGGAAGCCACAGCACAATGCCATTTTCTGTAAATTAAAAACACATTGGTATGCAAAACAGCAGCACATATTTTACAGAGCAACATGCATTTTTTGGGGTCTCTAGCCCATCATTGGAGTAGGTCCCGACAGTGGTGGAGGAGGGGCCCAGTGTAGGTTTGGAGGTAGGAAAAATGAAAACAAAGTAAATCCATGGAGGGTTCTTCCACAGAGAGACAATGGCGGCTGCTGTGGACTGAAGAGTGAGATTCACTCAACTCTCTCTATTGAGGTTTTAAAAACAGAAGGGGCTTTGTAGCTGGACAATCCTAGGTTCCAGTCTGAGCTCTCCCACGTGCTGACCCTGTGGCTGTGGACAAGTGCCTGGACCTCTGTGAGCCTCTATTTGTTCATCTGTAGATGGTGGAGAACTGCACTGCATGGTTGGTTATGAAGATTAAACTAAGGAGACCATGCGTCTAGGGCCTTCGGGGCACAGCAGCAGCTCCTGCTCCTCTCTGTTCCCCACTGAAAGGCCTGGAGTAAACAAGAGCGTGTTAGCCCCCTGGGGAAACCATGGATTCTTTAAAGGGTCAAGAATGGAGAGCCTAGAAAGGAGAGGAAACTCTCAGGACTCTGTCTCCTAGCATCACCAGCAAGCTAGACCCGCTGTCCCGGGGCTGCCGTGCATGGGCTGTCAGACCGGGCAAGTGCCCCACTGTGAAGCGCGGCTCTCTGCCTGTCAGATCCAGTGGCGCTCAGGACAGCCAGACCGCCTCATGCTTGCCTCCCACCAGCAGCACCCACAGCTAGAAACCCTTTTGTGTTCAATTTCCCCAAGACCAGGCACTTCGAGGCATTCAGTGTAAATGAAAGGTCTGTTCCTCCCCATACAAAGCTCAACAGGCTGGCCATCGACAGACCATCCCAGTCCCAAGGCCCCACCTGGGGGACACCCAGGCCAGGAAAGGTCCCAGCGAGCACCAGGCATGACTAGCTCTTCCTCTTTCCTTGCAGATGATGACGAGCATGAGTGGATCACCCGTACCTGTAGAAAGGGCTACACCGAGATCGTGGGTCACAGGCCCAAGCTGTGAACTCCATGGCTGCCTCCACCAAAGGTTTCCATCTGCCCTACTGGCATTGGCTGCCCCGGGGGACAGGCTGTCATTCTAGAACCTGACTTTTAACTCAGGAATAAAGACTTTCTGTGCTCAGAGGCGCCAGGTGTATTTTCCTTAAAAGCTTGTTTCTCAGTGGGCATCATTTTACCAGGACAAAAGTGTGAGCTACAGATATCCCTGGGCCCCACCCTAGACCTGCCAATCAGAATCTCTGGGAATGGGGCCTAGCAATTTGCATTCCCAGCATTTCTCATGCATCTGAACATTTGAGAACCACCCCTTTATAATAGATGGGTGTAATTGAGCACTAACCGGCACAGGTAGCGTATATGCATTATCTCTGCTCCTCACAACTGCCTTGCAAGGGGAAGGCTTTTGCAGATGGGGAATCTGAGGTTCAGAGAGACAGTGATTTGCTTGGTCTCAGAGGGCAGTAGGACCTGATCACTGTGCCCAGATCCGCGGCTGGTGGCAAGGGTGTCCAAGGGAGAGAATCCAGTCATGGGTTCTTAGTTTCTGTTTCTGGTTGGGCCAGTGAAGCCGCTTCCTCATCCCTTGTTTCCACTTATCCCTAGAGACAGAAACTAAAAACCAGGCTTCAGGCTGCTGAAAGCCTAAAACAAAACAGAACAGAAAAACAACAACAAAATGAGGTGGGCTGGACAAGCCGGGCCCAAGAATGATTACTTAGGTCTGCCTTTCCCTGCTGGCAGCTCCCCCATTGGAACCTCACATCCTAAGCACAGAATCAGCATGGTGCCATAGAAAGAATGTAGCTTTGGAGGGCAGGTGTAGTAGCTCATGTCTATAATCCCACCACTTTGGGAGGCCAAGGCAGGCGGATCACATGAGGCCAGGAGTTCAAGACCAGCCTCGCCAACATGGTGAAACCCCTCATCTCTACTAAAAATGCAAAAATTAACCAGGTAGAGTGGAATGTGCCTGTAATCCCAGCTACTTGGGAGGCTGAGCCACGAGAATTGCTTGAACATGGGAGGTGGAGGTTGCTGTGGGCCGAGATTGCACCATTGTACTCCAGCCTGGGTGACAAGAGTGAAACTCTGTCACAAAAAAAAAAGAAAAAGAAAAAAAGAATGTGGCTTTGGCATCATACAAAAAATAATTATAATAATGCTTTAAAACAATATAGTAGCTGTGTGGTTAAATGAGATGATACAAGTAAAGGACTTGGCGCATAGCAGGTATTCAATATGTGTTTGCTTTGAAGTAAACAACTTGTTAGTGTTGCATATAATCATTCCTCAGCATCACCCCGGAGGTCACATTTGTCAGTTGAAAATCAGAAGAGGAAGTGGCAACATGTTCCAGGGCCACACATGGACCATATGCATCCTGAATCTTTGTCTAACTGTCCCTCCTTAGTGGCTGCTAGATCCTGTCACCCCCTGTGCTCTGTCCCCTGGGACACCAGGTCTACCCAGTGGAGGCAGAACAGTGACTCAGGTTTGAAGGGCAGGAGAGGAAATTAGATCTCAAACTAGGGACCCAGAGGCATCATGCTGGGGCAGAGCCAGGAGCCAGTGGGTGGGGAGGCCTGGGCTCACTCTCAGTTGTGCCAGGGAGGAGACGGGATAATCGCCTCTCCCCAAGACTCCAGTTACTTTGATTGAGAGGGTTGAGCTCCACCGGTGGTTTCCAAACTGTACTTTGAAAACGGAAGGTGCATTCATGTAAAGAAACACACAACTAAACTCCTATATTTTCAAAGATACACATATATCTAAACATTTGAAAATGGATTGGAAGAGCAGATAAATGAGGGTCAGGGATGGGAGATTTCATAACTAGTAGAATAAAGAGCGGGGCCCCGCATCAGTGATCATGTGCACCATGAGTTGAGGTTTCTGAGCAGCTCATTTCTACGCAGGGCCGCGGCAGGCCAGGGAAGCCGCTGCATTCTGCAGGGCAGCTCTCCTGTCCACACCAGGAGCTTTGGCTGGAGCAAACAATTCTGCTGCTGAAAGAAAGTTGACAACCACCAGAAAGTTGCTCTCTCTCACTCCTCGGGTTACGAGGTGGCTCTGGAGCCTGCCAAAACCACTATAACACCCAGTCTGGTGTGGAAGCTGGGCCCTGCTGCCCATCCCATATTCCCTTAACTTCACCTTACTAAATTCTTCCCCATCTTCCAGACAAGCTCCTCTGTACCTCCCTCACTGCCCCACCCTCACCTAGTCTGTGACCTTCTCGTCTGATAGAATCCAGCTCTAGTACCCAAACCCTTGGCCCCCGCAGCATTTCCCAGACGGAGAGCTCCTCCAAGGCAGGGTCTGTCTAGGAGCCTTTTCCGAGTGTGCAGAGCCAGCACGGGGCCCAGCAAAGAGTGTGTGTTCAGAGGCTGGAACGGAGGGCATCCACCAGCCTGATTTCCCCCAAAGTTTAGACAAGAAGCAGGTGTGACTGAGTACTTCGAGAAGAAACTCATCATCAGGTCTTTACAATGCATCGTTGACTAACTGGGAAATGGTACCAGTTTTCCAGGAAGGAGGATGGCACTGTCCAGCAGCCCAGATATTCTGGGAGCCAGGGACCTAAGCCCTTCACCAGAGAGTGGGGAAGAAATGGAATCCCATCATGTTGTGGATTTCAGTGCCAGCATTTCTACTTGCATTAACTTTATTACACAAATAAGACATTTACAAAGCACAACATGAAAGGTATGTAACAAAACAGACATTGGTTTTACAAAAAAAAGTGCTTACATTTTTTTTTCCGTGTGTGTGTGTGTGTGTTCCCCTTTTTTTGTATTTAAATAAATAGTCTGACGGCCTGTATGTTCCCAGGCTGCTCTTCTTAACAGGGTAGTGGAGACATGTTTGAACTGTAACATGCTACGGCCACATGATCCACGCAAGGAATAGACCCTGAGGAGAGGCTCAAGGCAGAGTGGGGGTTGGGTGACCCTGGGCAGGGCTTGGCTGGCCACTTACCACATGGTTGCCACTGGGGCCTTGATGATCAGGAACAAAAATCAAATGAAAGATGTGAGCTCCCCAAGGCCAGGGATTGGGCTCTGGTTGCTCCTGTTAATGTCAGCGCCTAGCACAGGACTGGGCACAAGTTACTGCTGGATGAGTGCTGAGCTGAGCTGTACTCACCACGTTCTGAGTGGTGCCTTCTCTTTGCCCTCAGTCAGCTGTCACCATCTTTGGAAGGGAGAGGAAGCAGGTTCCCTTCTTGGGCTGCACCTGTGCCTAGCCCGCCTATAGATCCCAGAGCAAGAATGACATATAGGCTTTCATTTTAAGTGCCAACTTCAAGCATTTGAACTCTGAAACCTTATCCAGACTCAGTGAGATAGAGCTGCCATTGATTAGCAATGTCTGCCATGGGTAAAAACAGAGACAATGGCCGCATATGTACCATGAACTTGCTTTCCCTGTCCTGGAGCCTCCTTCTAAAAGCAACATAACAGGTTAACCACAGCAGGAAGGCGGACTTGGGCTAAAACATGCTGACTAGCAACCTCTAGTGGAAAATGCATCAGGACACCAAGTAGTTCTAGAATTACAGGATAAGCTTGGGACAAATGGGCATCCCCTGAAAACATAAATCATGGTCGTGTGTCACCCAAGCCCTTCTGTCTGGGGTGGAAGAGTTGTAGCAGGATGGATGTTATGCGGCTGTGTGTGGCCTCTGTTCTCAAGGGTGGGTGGAGCTGGCTCCAGGAAGTACTGTCGGGGAAGCACAGAGGTGCCAATTGGAATCCTGAGCTTGGCACCCTCACCTAGGCAATGGGCACCCTCTCTCTACTTAGAGATGGACCCAGGGTTAACATTCTGACTGCCATTTCACTGGGCTCTGTTCCCTTTCCCCCATGAGGGATCCCCACTCCATCAAGAAGACCTGGCCCAAGTACCCCTACGAGAGGTCAACAAGTAGACAACAGGGGTCCCCAGCTCTAACCTATCCAAACATTCAGAAGAGTCATGGCACAGATCAAGTACCATCTCTGTTATGTTTCCTGCATGTATGCTGGACAATTAGATGGTGGCAGAATTGTCGCTGTCCTCTCCTTAAAATGGCTAGTGCCTCTTCTGGTCCAATATGCCACTACCCGCTCCTTGATTTCCAAACCAATGGGGGTCTTTGTTCCCCCCATTCCCTGTCTATGCCCCCTGCCTCCTAGTCTGGGTAGGCCTCCATCTCTGCCCTATTGGGCCTCTCAGGGTTGGTCACTGTCTCTTCTCTTTCTGAATTAACTTGACATAACCAGACAGATGGAAATGATAAAATTAGAACATAGCTTTCCTTTGGGGACATCCCACAAACACTGTAGAGTTTTCCAGACAAAAGCAACAGAGTGGATAACATTGGGGGTTGTCAGCTATTCAGAAGTCAGAGATGGTTCCAAGGAAGTAGTAAATAAAGGCCAATGTGGGGGAAGAAAACCTGTAAATTAGAAGGCCGTTGGTGTTACACTATTCAATTCCGCCTTTTGCTATCGTAATCAGCTGAAGTTGAAGAGGACTCTTGTTTAAATGGGAAAAACAGGCTGTTTCCACCCTGATTCCAGACTTCAGGAAGTTCTGCCTTCCAAGAGGAGGACTCTGTGGTGCTCTTGGTGGGTTCTGGTTCTCAGCAGGAGAGGGAAAGGCCAGGCCTCGGGAACCGACCTGGTGGTGGGCAGGATGGCGGACGGGGGTGGATGCGGAGGTGGGTGGATTCCTGGCTGCAGCTTGGACACTGGACCTCAGCGGCTGAGGGGCAGCTGTGGGGCGCCCACAGGCAGGTGCGGAAGTGCCGGCAACGTTAGTACTGAAAAAGGATGACCTGCAAGAGGAGGGCATGGGAGGTGGCTGAGCTTGGGGCCCACCCCACCCTCCCCTCCCCAGAGAACGTCAAAGGCACAGAGAAGAAGGGTGGGCTCAGGGCCCAGATCTAAGTTTAAGTCTTGGCTCTGCCTATCAATGTGCTGTGGGACTTTGGGCAACTCACTTCTCCTCTCTGAGCCTGTTTCCTCATCTGTAAAATGGGATGACCAAAATCTCCCTCTGAGAATCAGAAAGATTCAAGGAGCTACAACAGCAGCAGCAAAATCCTACCAGGCATTTCACCTTGCACCTTTTGTGCCTTATTTCACAGAAGCCACACCACAGCCCCGCCCGTGAGGAAGTTCCACCATTCTAGTTTACAAGGAGGGCACTCAGGCTGAAAGAGGTGGAAGTGAGTGTGCCCGTGAGCACACAGCGAGAAGAGGACTGGGCACTGGAGGCCAGGCCTGGCTCACAGCAAACTCTCCTCACCATGGCACATTGCCTCTACCTCTCTAAGGTCACCGTGGCCATGGTGGCTGATTGCTTATTACCCACCGGACCATGGGCTAAGCACTTCACATGCACTTAATCTTCACATGCATGAAGCCTAGAGGTGTGTGGCTCAGACATGCTAGGCGCCTGATACACAGTGGGAGATCAGGACTGTCTGTCCCTCTCCCCTTCCCACTCCGGCCTCTAGCACTTGGTTGACATCTCACTGCTGATGACACAACCAGTTCCCTCAAGTTCAGGTCAAGGATCACTGGCTGGCTGGTTAAGGGCGATGTGTCATTTCACAGTAAAGTGTGAGGAAGGGGTTGGTCCAGGGGCATCTGGTGGGCATGACCACATGGCTGTTCCCTTTTCTGATCAGGAATGTTACTTGCCCAGAATTGGTTATCACAAGGAGGTGATAGAAAAAAGCAATGATGATGATCTCCATAACAGCGATCATGATAACTAACACTTAGCGGGCATTTTCTGTGTACCAGGCATTGTGCTGGTTCTTTCCACACATTATGCATTTACTCCCTGCAGTAACTCTAGACGGTGGTAACTATTATTATCCTCATTTTGCAGATGTAGAAACTGCAGCTCCAAGAAGTTAATTGTATTCCCAAATCTCCCAGGAAGGAGGTGGCAGAGCTGGGATTCCGAGCTGGCCTAACTCCAGAGTGGCCAGCGTGGGCATTCCTTCCGCACCCTGGCCACTGCTTCACTTTGGCCTCCAGGATGACTGGCTCTTGGCCCTTATTAACAGAAGCTTTCTCAAAAACCCTGGTAAGACTCTTCCCCTTCATGGGCCTCAGTCTCCCCCACTGATCAGTGACAGCTTGGCCCCAGTTTTTAAGAACTTTCCAAGTGTTAGATTTGTGGGATCGGGGGACACAACCAGGAAGAAATGTGGCTCTGGAAACCCCCCGGCATGCGTGGCCAAATGATGATGTGGTGGCGGCAGGGGATGCTCGTCTGAGCGCTCAGAGCACTGTTCTCCTGGCCAGGCCAGTGCTGGTCTAGATGAGTGGGTTCAGGGGCCAGCCCCAGGGGGACACTGAGACTCCTCACAGCTAGGCAGGCTCAGGCCTGGAGGACTTGGAAGAAAGCCCAGGCAATCCTGTGCTGGCCACACACATCCCACACCCTGCCGCCCACCAGACCCCAGGAATTTGATGAGTTGTGGACAAGAAAAGTCCCTAGGAGCTGGCAGAAAGGCCTGACAGTGAGAGGACAGAAGGTCATGAAGGAGGAAGAAACACTTTAATGCAGACTTTCTGGATGCAAAGTTGGGGACACAGCCCAGCAAGGGAAAACTCTGGTTCAGCAGCCAAACCCAGGGGCCGGAAACTGCCTATAGCTAAAACTGACAGCCCCCAGCATGGCTCATCCCTCAGGCTGAACCAGACAGAACCACAAGCTTAGGTGAGCAACCAGGAGGCAAAGGCTCCTCTCCAAGCACAGAATCCAGCCCTCTGCATTTCCAGGGCCCACTCAATACCCTCCATATAATGTCCAGGACCCTCTCTCGATGATCCTTTGTTCTGTGGCCCCTATGAGCTCTCCCCACTTCCCTGGACCTCAGCCACACTGAACATCCCCTGGAGTCCCCTCCAACCCATGCTCCTCCATGCCTCTGAAGCTTTGCACATGCTGTTCTGTTGATGTGGAATGCCCTTCTTCTCGTCCCCTGTCTCTCCCCTAGAGCTCACTACCACTTCTTCTGGGTCCTCTAAGGCCATGTTTCTCACCTACTCCAGCTGCCCATTCCCCTGCAATGTAGCTGCCCACATTCTGTGCTAAGCAACAAGCTCCCTGAGGACAGGGATCACGTCAGCTCACTTCCGCAGTCCCAGAGCCAGGTCTAATAGGATGAATGCCCTCCTACAGGAAGGGACAGCTCTGAGGCAGGTGGCCCTAGAATCCAGGCCAGTTCTGCCCATGCTCATATTGTGATTCTGTACGAGCACTGCTCTGCCTGAGCCTCAGTTTCTACAAGTATGAAATGGAGGTCATCACAACCACCCTCCCTGGGAGACTATGAAGGATGAGGTCGAAGAGAGGGCTGTGTAAACAATAAAGCGCTGCACGAAAGGAAGCGATGCCTGAACCACGCAGACTTCAGAGTCCCACAGACTCACTGCATCCCTGGGCATGTCACGTCACCTCCCTGAATCTGTTTATCTCTTCACAATGAGGAGGTCATCTCTATGTCCACAAAGTGGCTGGGAGGTGTCGACCAGATGCCATGTGACAAGTCGCAGCCTTGTACAGAAGGAGCTCAGCAAACAGCAGCTCTTCCTATGAATGTGACAGTCTCAGCAGCAATGATGTTCCTGTGGTATGTTCACTCACTATAGATTCTACAGGATTTTGCATTAGGCACTACCATTTACTTATAAATGTATCTGTCCAGAACCGTCTGTACCTCCACACCATACACATTCCGTGTGGCACCTGACACAGAGAGCTCAGCACATACTAGGTACACTGAGCTCAATCAGGAGGCTGAGCCGGAAGTACTGTCCTAGAGGAGCAGTTCCCAAACCTGGCTGCCCATCAGAATTACACAGGCTATTACACATGCAGATCCCTACCTCCCACTCCATCAGATTCTCTGAGAGTGAGGCTTAGGAATCTCTGTATCTTTACAAGCTGCCCAGGTGATTTCAAGCACACCAAAACCAGGATCCACTGGACTGGAGGGCCCCTGACTCCAGCCCTAATGCTCTGACCCTCTCCCTCAGGATCGCCACACTCACTGACCTCCAGAGTTCCCTGCCTCCGACTGGGTGTCCTCCAACCCAGCAGTCTCTGAAGACTGCTACAGTGATGTTTCTGCAACAGACCTTCTGGGTCCCCACACTGCTGCAGGATAAAATACAGACTCTGGCCGGGCGCGGTGGCTCACCCCTGTAATCCCAGCACTTTGGGAGGCCACGGTGGATGGATCACCAGGTCAGGAGTCCAAGACCAGCCTGGCCAATATGGTGAAACCCCGTCTCTACTACCAATACAAAAATTAGCCAGGTATGGTGGCAGGTGCCTGTAGCCCCAGCTACTTGGGAGGCTAAGGCAAGAGAATCACCTGAACCCAGGAGGCGGAGGCTGCAGTGAGCCGAGATCGTGCCACTGCACTCCAGCCTGGGCAATAGAGACTCCATCTCAAAAAAAAAAAAAAAAAAAATACAGACGACTCCACCTGGCAGCCCCAAGGCCCTCGCTTCCCTTCTCTCTTCCTCCCAGACCTGCGTGCCAACAGTGCTGAACAGCTCAAGTTTCCCTGAGAGCCCTGCTGTCTCAGGCCTTCCCTGATACCTTAGCCTGAACCTGGCCTTAGAGGTTGCCTCCTCTGGGAAGTCTTCCCTGCCTCTCTCCTTTGCCCCTCCCACCTCCCCAGCTCCCACGGCTTCCCCTGTCATACTGTATTGTAACTGTTGGGATCTGCTCCCCCTCCAGACTGTGGCCTCCTCAAGGGCAGGGACCACACTTTACTCAACCCCACTCCTGGCAGCAGACTCAGGGATGCTGGGCACAGTCAGGATATAGGAAATGTCTCCAAATAAACAAGTAAGTGAATGAAAAAAAATGCAAGGTTCTCACCCAGTCTCTGACCTTGAGTCTCTGGGCCTCAATGTCCCCATGTCTAAAATGAAGGGCTGGCTGAGAGCAATGGCTTTCAAGGCTAACTGTGAGGTGCCTTGGAGCTGGGAGGGAGGTGAGGCTCTTCCTCTCTCCGTGGTTTCACAGAGCAGCTCCATCCACCTTCACCTGTACTATGGACAAGTTTAAACAAAGGGCTGCAGTGCTTCAGAAACAATACCTTGAAACCCTGGAATAGGGACATCCAAGCACCCTTCTAGAAGTGCAGTCCTAAAGCCTGAGCCAGCCAGAAATCCCGGCTCCACAGAGGAGGCCCTGCAAGTTGACCAAGGTCACTGGCTGGCCAGCTATCCCTGGGCCCCACCAGCTCAGGGTATTCACTCCCAACAGACAAGAATGAAAAGGGGAAACCAGTGAGATTATGGAGATTGAGGTGATGAGTGATATAAGCCCTCCCTGGAATCTCAAAGCTTGAGTAAAGGAAATTCACAAATCTGAGACAGAGAAGGGCAAGCTGCCAGCAGGGAGCTGCAAGGAGGCCTTTGGAGTGGCCATGCACACAGAACATGCCTGCAGCTACTCCAGCGACTGCTGTGGGGGTGCAGTGGGGGTCTAAGCAGGTTGGACAGAGAGCATCTGCCACAGGGCAGCATGGTACCAAATCATTAACAGGGGCTGCAGCCAGGAACCCATCCCTGGCAGGGTAGCTCTGACCCACCAGACCCAGCCTGGCTCCATTTACCTTCTCACCCCGGTTGGAGAGCGGCCCATCCATATCGGCTTTGAGGTGTACAGGGGGTGCGGTGTAAGGCAGCCGGCAGTGCACCTGCCCGCACTGTACCTGACCTGTGGACGAGAGGATGCCTTGGAGCTCATCCCCCAGGCTGTACACAGGATCCCACCTGCCCCGTGCTCTGCAAGCTGGAGCTCTGAAACTAGTTTCATCTCTGCCACTTACCTCCTGGGTAGCCCCGGGCAAGATTTCAGTAGGGTTGGTTGTGATGCTCTTTATAGTCTATAAAGAGCTATGTGACAGTGAGGTATAATCATCTAGCTCCCTGATAAACACTCCTAAATAAATATGTGCTTTCATATTCATGCACATGCAAGCCAGGCTGTACCTCACCTATTCAGACCCTGCAAGCAAGACTGTACCCCATCTATTCAGACCCTGCAAGCAAGATTGTACCCCATCTATTCAGACTCTCCCTCAGCAAGTTCCTATCTCTTAGGTAACACCACGACTTCACCCATGCCTCCTAGAGGACTCTGTACTCATATGTCACCACTCTCTACGACTGCAATCAACACCAACACCTACTCCCTACCCTCCCTGTCTTTCTCCCAGCTTTATTTTATTTTCTTAGCACTTACCATCTGACTTAACTGCATTTTTTTTTTTTTTTTTTATTTTATTTCATTTTTTTTTTTTTTTTGAGGCAGGGTCTTACTCTGTTGTCCAGGCTGGAGGGCAGTGGTGTCATCTCAGCTCACTACTGCCTCTGCCTCCCAGGCTCAAGTGATTCTCACACCTCAGCCCCCCGAGTAGCTGGGACTACAGGCATGCACCATCACGCCCAGCTAATTTTTGTATTTTTTGGTATTGAGGGGATTTCACCATATTGGCCAGGCTCGTCTCGAACTCCTGACCTCAAGTGATCTGCTCGCCTCAGCCTCCCACCTTCTAAAGTGCTGGGATTACAGGCATGAGCCACCACACCCAGCCTGACTTACTGCAGATTTTTATTATTTATTTGATAAGATCTGTCTTTGCCAACTAGAATGCAAGCTCCATGAGGACAACACTTTTTTGTCTGTTTTTCAGATTCTAATCTTTGTGGATTTCCAGCACCTAGAAACGTACTGGAAATGAGGCATGGCATTTAGTAGGTACTCTTAAGTATTTGCTGAATGAATTTCCATACCATATTTCAACATCTTAAACTGTTAGGGAAGGTCCACCTTTGCGTCGGATCCAAATTTTTCATGCTTCAGCCTGTTTACCACTACAGTGGAGAAGTCCATTGCTTGTCTCTTCTTTTTTTATTTTTTGTTTTTATTTTTGAGATGGAGTCTTGCTACGTCGCTCAAGCTGGAATGCAATGGCACAATCTTGGCTCATTGCAACCTCTGCCTCTCCAGTTCAAGCAATTCTCCTGTCTCTGCCTCCTGGGTGGCTGGAATTACAGGCATGCGCCACCATGCCCAGCTAATTTTTGTATTTTTAGTAGGGACAAAGTTTCACGTTGGCCAGGCTGGTCTCAAATTCCTGACCTCAGGTGATCCATTCGCCTCGGCCTCCCAAAGTACTGGGATTACAGGTGTGAGCCACTGTGCCCAGCGCTTGTCTCTTCTTTAGACTTCATTCTCTTTGGTCACTGGGAAAGACCATTGTAGAGAGACTTATACCTGATATATAAACTGGGACAAGTCACTGTTCCTTTCTGAGCCACAGTTCTCCCATTTGTAGAATAAAAGAGTTATATTAAATTGGGAGTTCTTCACCTGGGGTGTTCAAGGAGTCCATATGCAACTTCAGATTACCTGGAAAATGTAGTACGTCTGCATTTTTCTAGGGTCTTGTTCCAAAGCTTTTATCAGATTCCAAGCTCTAAGCCTCCAGGAAACTCAGTATTCTGTGACTTTAGTTCACTGCAGCGCAAAAGTTCATTTTTCTGGGGTCTGGTTCTAACACTTTTCGTTAGCTTCTCAGCTCAAGGCTTCAGAAAATTCACAACTCCATGATTTTAGTTCACCGTAGAGCAAACTACTGTGGTGACTATCAGTCAGTCACGCAGCAAGAGGTGCAGGTGCAGACACCCCCAACCTCTTCTTCCCCAAGCTGAATTCCACCACCTCAGCCTCTTCTCTAAGCATCAAAGACACATCTAAGTTTGGTCAACAGAGTGTATGGCCAGAGTCCTGGAAGGGACTCTGGAGGTCATGGCTGCAAGTCCAAAGAGGTCATCTAGATTTCTTATTGACCCTATACCAAGTATTAGCAGGTAGCTCAGACCCCTGGTACCTATAGAGCCCCTGATCCTTGGCACCTTTAACAGGCTCTATGCAGCCTGAATATAAGTTATTGTTTAGAAAAAGGGAGAAAATGTCACTCCTACTGAGCAGATAGTTCAGAAATGCAACAATCTAAAGAGACATGGTTTCCAACTGGCAGTCTGGTGCAGAGACAGGGCTCTGCCCTCCTAGTTCTGCCAACCAAAACCACTCCCACCATCACAACAGCAGCCAATACTTACGTGGTACTTGCTAAATGCTGAAGACAATAAATCAGTTATCTCATTTGATGCTCAGAACACTGCTTTGAGATACTCTTGTTGTCCTCATTTTTACAGATGAGGGAGTGAATATTCAGGAAAGCTAAGAAACTTACCCACTGTCACACAGCTAGTAAATGGCAGGGCTGGGATGTGAAGCCTGGCCATCTGACACCAGAGCCCACACTCGATCATTAAGGCATACCACTCCCACTAACTTACAGTGGGCCCTTGGTTTCCTCATCTATTCAAGGAGACGGTGGCCTCTGATGTTTAGAGACGCAGTCAGTAGAGTAGATGGCATACAGTCAGTAAGGAGCAGTTCTCTCTCTGATCTCCCTTCCTTTTCCCTTTTATATGGAGCCAGATAAGGGAGGATTTGCATGTGTGTGTATGTGCATCATGGTCATCTCTATTTTTTTGGTCATGCCCAGCTTAGAGGAAACAATTGATGGGAACAACTTCAAAGAGAAAGACAATCTGTGATAAGCACCTGCTCAGCAGCAGATGCACTGAACAATTATCCTCCAGAAATCTCTAGGGCTCCTCTTACTCCTCCAGGTTCCTGTTCACAAGTCATTTCACCATGAGCCGCTTGCCCCTGCATCTCCGCCACAGTGCTCCCTGCCACAGACATGCCTGCTCCCTCCCTTTTGACGTTATGGTCTCCCCACTATCTCCCACACTGCAGCGCAGCAGCTTTGGTCTACTGTGTTCACTGTGGTATTCCAGTGCAAAGAACACAGAAGGCACTCAAGATATAGCTATTGGATGCATGAATAGAGTCTCACAACACCGTGAGCCAGGCATTAGTGACATCCCAGGTTACAGATAAGGAAACCAGGGCTCAGGGAGGTTAGGTGACTGCCTAAGGCCTCACAGCCCTGGACACTTCCACCACACTTTTGCTCCCCAGGACACATCCATGCCACCATGCTTCCTGGGCCAGGGCCTGCGTGCATTCCGTTTCCCCACTCCAGGTACTTCACTAAATCCTATCCATCCTTTCCGTCTCTGCTTGCTGAGAGGCAGCCCAGCCCCTTCCCCTCCACCTGCCCCAGCATCTCCAGTCACTTCTCTCCAGCACCACCTTTCCTATGGGAATCATCCCAGTTAAAACAACACACTCATCTGCCTGGTTATTTTTCCATGCCCACCAGAATGCAGTACTTTGTCCATCCTGTTCTCTCCCAGTCTCCAGGCACTGGCACAGGCTGGGTGCCTTGAAAGTATTTTTTGAACAGCTGAATCGTTTGTCTCTACGAGAAGGGCCCCGCCCCACTGAGGCAACTCCTAGATCCAAATGACTTCGGATCCCACTTCTTCACCAACGAGGCTCTCTAAGGCCCCCCACCCCAAGCCTCAGCCGCCCACGCGCGCTTCTCCGCGCCCCCTCCCTGCAGGCCCAGCGGCTCCCGGGGCTGCGGTCACTTACTCTCGATGTAGCCGTGCAGGGTGACCATGCGCGCCCGCTCGGGGCTGCTGAACGGGGTGTAGTGGATGTCGTCGGACAGGGCGGAGGGAAGGCGGGACGGGGGCGCCCCCGAGGGCGGCACTGGGTGCTGCGGCGTGTGCTTTTTATGACGCGCCCGGCAGTTTTGAAACCACACCTGGAACGACAACCTCGGCAGCCTCAGCCTAGCGGGAAAGAGTCGGACGCGCCGCCGGGAGCCCCAAGCAGGACAGCCTCGTCGCCTCCTGGAGAAGGGTGGCCACGTGCACCCACGACCCTCCGCGCCGAGCCCAGCTACGAGCTCCAGGGCGTGCCCGCGGTCCCCAGGCCCCGCCCACCCCTGTCCCACCTGGATGACTCTCCGGCTGAGGCCCGTCATGTCCGCCAGCTTCTGCAGCGTCTGAGCGTCGGGGTTGTTGTCCTGCGCGAACTGCGCCTGCATAACCTGCGGGGCGGGGAGGGCGGTGAGGCGCCCGCACGCGGAGACTCCGAGACCCCGGCCCAATCAGAGGCGCCAGCCTGCAGGCCACGCCCCAGGCAGCTGCGGCCCCGCCCCGCCACCCGGGTCCGGGCAGAGGGGCGGAGCCAAGAGACCTTATCGGCCCCGCCCACGCCCCGGCCGCCCGCGGCCTGCAGCGGTACCTGCAGCTGTTCCGCGGTGAAGGACGTCCGCGCGCGCTTGGCCGGCTTGGGCTGACTGTCCTGTTCCGAGGGCACTGCCCCCTCCAACGTGAGGCCGTTCCCTGGGGGCGATATAAGCGGCTGACCACGCGTCCCATCTCTTCTAGTGGCAGCCTGGAAAGGACGGGGGTGGGGGGAGCTTGTCCCTGGAAGGGTCAGGAGCGGGAGTTGGCTGGGAGCGGGGATCCCAGGTTCTAGTCCCTGAGCTCAGTCTTTGGGGAAGGGGTTTCTGAGAGTCCTCTCAGTACTGGACACTTCTTACACGACTGGACCACGTCTTACAGCCCTAATGAGAGGTGGAGTTACCCCACTTTACATGGGAGGAAACTGAGACTCAGAGAGAAGGAAAGCCCCTGCCCTGGACCTTTCGACTAGAATCTAAAAGCTAGCTGACCCTAATGTCCCAAACTGGGCTCCCTCCTGGCGAAACTGGGGGAAACCAAAGGCTAGAGGAGCTAGGAAGCAAGCAAGTAATGGAACTATGATCCTAATTTCATAAAAATAAGCGGAAGAAAAAAAGTTTGTAAGAATATATAACAAGGTGTTGGCAGTGGTTTTCTTCCCAGGAACGTTATTATGGAAAGTTTTTACTTTCGGTATTCCTGTAACTTTTGAGGTTTTTAAAAACAATCATATGTTGCATACTTCTCTAAGGCTTAATTTTGTTAACCAGAGTTTATGTTAGATATTCTCTTTCTACTCATATTACTTTTACAATCATACTAAAACACTAACTATATTCCCATTTTATTTTTAATACTTAATTGTTCTGAATATCCTCAAAATCTCAGAAAATTTCCATAAGCACAAAGAAGAAAATAAAAATCACCAGTAATTCCAGCACTCAGAAATAACCATTGTTCACAATTTATTGTAATTTTTTAATTAGGAAAAAATTATGTTGAAGGAAAAAAGCAAACACCATAACATACATGGAAAAAATCTGAAAAGATACACATTAAAATATGAAGGAAGGCAACATTTGGAGCAATTGTTATTTTCTTCTTATTGCTTACCATCTTTTCTTATTTTTCTACAATGAAAGTGTGTGTGTGAGTGTGTGTGTGTGTGTGTGTTATGTTTTAAAAGTGAAACAGGAGCCAACACTGAGGGCTGATCAGTAAGAGATCAGAGGCCCCAGCCTTCAAGTTCCTCAGCACGGTAAGAATCTGTGGACAGGTGTGGCTGTGAGAGCTAGGATGAAATTGGCAAGGCTGTGACTACAGGTGGCCCTGATTGGACCATGTGTGGAAGGAGCCTGTGGTCACTGATGGATCACAGTGTGGGAAAGCTCTAAATCTTGGGCTTCCATCCCAGCTCCATTGCTGACTTGCTGACCACTGCAAATAATTTCATTGCCCACCACTCCAGATGAGTGGGCAGCAAGTGAAACTCAAGTTCACTTAGACCCACTTAGTCCTGATCCTGGCAGGAGAAAATTATGGCCCTGGTGTGGCCGTGGCCAGGAACGCTCTGGTGGTCCCTGGCTATTCCCCAGGCTGAGACCTAGAAGTTGAGGCAGGGTGGTTCATACTCCTCCCTGGAGGAACTGAGGATTGGGGTAGACACTCTGTGTTATTAATGTCCCCTAGGAAAGCAGGCAGGGCAAGGATTGGTGTGTTGGTTTTTTAAATGGGAAACAAAAACATAGACAGCTACATCCCAGAAGGCTCCTTGGCATCATGAGATCTGATTAGGGTGCCCTAGAGCTTAGGGCCAAGGTGCTATGGGATGGGATGGTGTTAAGAGCCTGGCCTTTGGAGTCAGGTAAATCTTCTAGTATGTAACTTTTGGCAAATCCTGTTTCTTCTCCTGTAAGATGAGGATGTCCCACCTACTTCCTAGGGCTGTTGTAAAGATTACATAAAATAATCCATGTTAGCAACTTTCACAGATCCTAACAGGGGAATTAAAGAAAGGGTCCCTGCCTCTGCCCACAGCCAAGCACTGCCCTTCCCCAGCTCAATCTGGCCTGTAACTCAGTCCCCAGGATCCCTGGAAGACCTGGATCTTGTTCCTGGGCAATCTGGGGAACCACAGTGTCAGAGCCAGAAGAGATTTAGGAATCATTCTAGTCCAGTATCTGTCTTTGCACAGGTGTGTGGACTGCAGCCCAGAGAGAAAAGGTAACTTCATATGTTGACCCAGTATGTGACAGCCTGGTCTCCAGACTCGGAAACCTGGTCCTTTCCTCTTGTAGTTAGATACCCTGGTCCAGGATGAAACCCTCCTCCTCAAACCTCTGGCTTGGAGCTGCTAGAATAGGAATTGAGAGAAGGGGGACCAAGTCATCTCTCCAGCACTGGCCCAAGCCTCCTCCCTGGCAACTGGAGGGGGTGAACCCCCAGGCCAATGAGAGCTGTCCAAAGGTGGAATCGGCTGCCCCATTATGAGAACCATCTCTAGAATTCACTGAGTGCCTCCTGGCTTTACAACACATCAGCTCATCTATCTTTGGGAAGGTATCCTATCCGAAACGCCATTTTACCGATAAGGAAACATTGTTGCAAAGGATGGCAGTGACTTCTGACTCCTAAGCAAAAGATCCTGGAAGTCCAAGATCTGTGCACCGCTCCACCCCCATGCTGCCTGCGGGGCGGTACTGGGAAGGCCCAGTCGGTAGAGAACTGGGAGTGGTTCCTGAGGTGCTGGGGTGGGGTGGGGTGGGGCGGGAAAGGGCTGGGGGCAGAGGTGCCAGGCAGAGCAGGTTGGGTACCGTTCTCGGCGGCCCTCTTGAGGTTCTCGATCATTGTGTCGTAGTGAATTCGGCAGAGCACCTTCTCCTCCACCAGGCCGAACTCCTCACCAGTGGACAGCTGGCGCTTGCACGAGAAGCAGGCGAAGCAGGCCAGGTGGTAGGCGTTGCCGCGAGCTCTCCGCACCCAGTCGCTGGCGTAGATCTGTCGGCCGCACCGGGCGCACTTGGTCCCGAATCGGCTGCAGGTGGGGAGGACAGGCACCGGGTGGCGAGACTCAGACAGGCCAATCTTTCCCCTTCCACCCCCAATGGTCCACCAGCTCCCAGGCTCCTGGCCGCTAAGTCTTCAGCTCAGGCATTAGCCTTAACTTGGACGCACCAACCCTCTATACCTAGTCCCAGCTAGGAGGTGAACTGGTGGGTGATTTTTATTTTCTTCTTGGTGTTTTTCTGAATTTCCCAAATTTTCTACAATGGTCACTTCTATTTACATATTAATTTGTTAAAAATACATGACAAGTTAGAAAACCCATAATAGTAATAATAGGCAAATTGTTGAGCACTTATCACTTGCCCAGCAAGATTCTAATTGTTTTACGTTGATTATCTCAATTTATCCTCATTTTGCAGGTGAGGAAAATGGGGACCAGAGAGGTAAAGTACCTTGCACAAGGTCACATGGCTTGCAAGGAGAGAAACCCTAGCCACCCTGACTCCAGAGATGAATATAAGCTATAGCCCCAGGTGTACAGAGTGAAGTTTCTTAGAAGAACAGACAGATAAGCACTTACTGGCTTTGTGACCCTGGGCAAACTGTTTAACTCTTGAGTTCTCATTTTCCTTGTCCTGCACTGAACTAGATGACAACAGCAATGACCACTACTGTTTGTTCAGAGCTTTGCAGTCTGCTAAGTACCCAGAAAGTCCCTCTGGAGCCTGTGACATTCTATTAATAATACTAGATGTTAAAAAGACAAAAATAAAAATAAAAAGCCTGAATCGAATGTCTTCTTACCCCTTTTAAGCCTTCCTTGATTCTACCTCTTCCCCTTCTCCCTTCCAGTTTTGTGATCTGGCAATTTGGGTGCAGCTGCCTCCAACACCAGACTGGGAGCCCCTCCAGAAGGGGGTAGAGTCTGGTTGACCCCATCCTAGAAGTCAGTCCAGGGCCTGACCCAGGGCACCAGGGAAGGCATGTTTTTTAAAGTGGATGACTCACTTGCCACTCTGTCCCAACCCTGGCACCCTGTTTCCTCTGGTACACCCTCTGTTTCAGAGAATGGTGCCACCACTCACCCAGCCCCTGAAGCCTGAAAATCATAATCATGCACTCTTCTCTCTCCTCAACCCCACATCCAGCCAATCATCAGATGCTGTTAGTTCTGTTTCCCAAGTGTCTCTGGGGTCCATCTCCTCCTCACCATCTCTGCTGTCGCCCTCCTAGGCCAGGCTCCCTTCGTCCTTCCCTCACTGTCAACCTCTTCCTGGGTCTCCCTGTTTCCAGTGTCACCCCTGCCAACCCCTCCTCCACACAGCAGTCACAGCGAAGTTTCCAGCATGCACACAAAATCCTGTTTCTGCCTTGCTAACAATCCTATGGTGGCTCCACTCTATCCTCAGGATCTGATCCAAAACTCTCGGGGTTTGCAAAACCCAACCAACCACATCCTCTTCAGGCCCATCCCCTCCCTAACCTTCAAGATGTGCCGCCCCACCATCCAGGCATGTGTCCCAGTCAGCCACAATGGAAGGTCACTCCCAGGTCTTTATGGCCTCCTCTGAAGCACTTTCCCACCCCAAGGTCTTCGCACTGACTGTTGCTTTTCCAGACCTACCCTCCCCTAGAGTCCCAGGGACCCCCCCCCCAACCCCGGCACCACCGCTATCTCAGCGCTGACCGCCCTGGTTTGTAAATGTTTCATTTAGGACTCTTCCCTTCCACTCCTTCCACCTTCCTAGAGTTGGCGGCCCGGGGTTCGGGGTGGGGGACCAAGGAGATTTGCCTCAGTATCCCCTGGGCCGGCACCCTTCCACCCGGGGGAGCATTCGGAATCGCCTGTGTGTGCACGGAGGAAACAGCCCCGCAAAAACTCTCTGGTTACAGCCTGCCTGCCTTGGCAAATTCAAGCAACTGTCGGTTGAAAAAACCAGCGTTGTGCTGGACTGAGTGCAGGAGCCCAGCGGCTTCGGCCAGTCCCCGCTGGCAGACTCATTCCCAACCCTGCTGTCTCCGACGAGGAGCACGAGAAGACCCTTCCGCGGGAGGCGCGGTTCGCTCAGGAGGCGCTGCGCACCTTGGTGGAGTCCACCGCTCCACCGAGCAGAGGCGGTTCCGGACCTCGGAAACGCGGTTTCCCCAGCGGAGTGCCCAGCCCAGCCCGCGGTCTCTGTTCCCCGTCCCGCAGTAAAGGGGAGAGGAAACCGTTTTGCCCAACCCAGCCTACTCCCGGCGAAGGTCCGACCCGGGTTCCACCGCACTGCTGGTGGTATCCGGACTGGGAGCACTTTCTGGCCTCGGAGGAGAGGCTGGCTTCCGATTACTTGTGCTGCTGGGGGTCGGGGGTGGGGGTGGCCAACCGCGCTCAGAGCTCTTACTACCGGCCGGGGTCCCGGGGCGCGACGCCTTCATTGCACCCCCTGGACTTCGTCGCAACTCGGTGAGGTGGGGACTCTGGCATCCGTTTTTCATACAAGGAATCGAAGGTTCAGAGACGCCGAGTGACTTGCCCGAAACGCCACAGAGTGTGCCTCCGGGTTTGAGGTCCCCTCTAAGGTGCAAAAAGTACCTAAAACCTGCGGAACTACTGGACTGGAGACGAGAAGAGCTGGAATCCCGCATGGATTAACAGGAAGCAGGGCCAGTCAGGCAGCGCCGCGTCCCCACTCCCGGCTGCTGGTTCTGGAATCTCCCGCACGCGGGGCCAAGGACCCACCCACCTCGAGAAGGCGGTGAGTGCATCCTCAGGGAGCGGACAGAGCCTGAGCAGAGAGGGTCTTGGCCATCAGAGGCCGGGCGAGAGCAGCTGAGCCTTCTGTGCGCCAGGCTCTGTGGGATTGTTTCCCCTTGGCCACTGGACGCGTAAAAGACGCGTATCTGTCTGTTCTTCTAAGAAACTGCACTTCTGTACACCTGGGGCTATAGCTTATATTCATCTCTGGAGTCAGGATGTCTAGGGTTTCTGTCATTGCAAGCTATGTGACCCTGTGTACCGCGATCCTGCCCCGCGGGTCCCGGACGCCTGAGTCTGTTCTGCGCCTACACAGGTAGGTCACAGTGTCCTCACATCCTTGGTCGGAGGTAGGCGCCGCTAGTGACCTCTCAGCAACTTTATCATGCTCTGCGTGTCATCCCAAATGCCGGAACCTGTCCCAGCTCTAGAATCCTCCTGCGCTCCTGATGGCTCATCCCAGTCTATGAAATCATACTTGCGCGGGATCTTCGGAGTGGGGGTAGGGGAGATTACCTAGGTTTGGTTGCATTGCAGACTGCCCTGCAGCGTGTCCCTCACCCAGGACAGGGGTCAGCAGCACGAAGGGCGCGAGAAAGCTTATCGATCCAGGCTTTGACAAAACGACAGACTCCTTCCCAGGCGGGCTGCGAGGCCCGAGCCACCGGCTTCCGGAAGCAGCGAAATTGGCGGCGGAGACAACGAAACTTCAAGAAAGAGGTGTGCAGGGACTGCCACCAGAACGCCAAAGGGATTAGGGGGTGTGCCTACTGCCACCCTAGCCTTGCTGTGAGGTCCAGACCTTGCGCGTCCCCGGATCCCGGCGTGTGAAGCGCCTAGGTGCAAAGGACCTGAGGCGCTTTCGGGATGGAGAGGTGTTCGATAGATGTTGCTCATCCTGGCAACTGCTAAAAGCAGTAGGGCGGGCATCGCTCACCGCGGGGCGCTCTACCTCCTGAAAGGAGGGCAGAGATATCTGGGTACCAGTGGTTGTACCAACGGAGCTCTGCGCCCTTGACCAAATCAGACTCCCTTTCCCAGCCTACTACCTGGATACCTAGTAAGCACTTGGTAATTATTTGTTGCATGAATGAGCCTCAGCGAAGGAGCCCATCGGAGTTTCACCTCAATCCTTTCTCCCACTATTAAGCTACCCCTTTTCTGTGCAAGAAAATCAAACCTTAGAGTGGAAACGCCAATGTTAGTTACCAAGCTATTGAGCTGAGAGGCTGAAACTGAAATGGGACTTTGCTTATCTTAGGTTCGAGCAGTTCCCGATGGTGTTAGATCTTGTAAGCGGAACAAGGTGGGTTGCAGGTGGAGTCCCACCTATTCTCTCTGCTCCTTCCCTTCTAGGTAAACCCTTAGGGGAAGAAGGGGGGGGGGTGTGTGGGGGAACCAGCAATTAAGAGGTTAAAACGACCGCTTCTCGGAGGTCCCGGCCCCAAGGCTCCTCCCCCAGCTCCCCTCTCAGCTCCCCCAACATCTGTCCCCCAACAGCTGGCCGCCGCTGGGCCGCTCTCTGCCGCGGTGGGGGGCCGCTTCCCTCTCCGAGCCTCCCCAGGGACCCTCGCTCTGCGGGAGGGGGTGGGGTTCTCCCTCTGGAGCCCGCGACAAAACTTGGGCTCAAGGCAGAAGGCCAGGGAAGGCTGGGGGCTTGCCTGCAGTCCTTTGGGCCTAGCTGGGAAGAGGATCTTTAGCCTCCAGGGCACTCACTGAACCCCCATCCCCATAAACACGAGGGGAGACAGTTAACCCTTTACTCCCCGCTCCCATTGTAAGAAGGCCTGAGGGCCAGGGACTGCAGTGACCTGATATTGACAAAGTTACTCCACTCACAGGCTTCTGAGGCCATTCCTGTCCTAGTGCTCCCAAGAACAAGCAGGGAGCCACACATCAGAACACACAGTGGGTGTGCCAACCTAACTGGGCAGGGAATCTTAGGGACAGCAGAGAGGGGCCCCACGATGCACAGATGGGTGGCTGATATATCTCACCTATAGAAGAGTATGGGGGTGTTTAGGGGCAGGGATGGTGGAGCCAGGCAGCTGCAGGGCTTATCTAGACTCTACCACTTAGCCGTGTGTCCTCATCAATCAGGGTCTCAGTTCCCTGATCCCACCCCCACACTGCCATCACGTGGGATTATGAGAGTATCATACGCACAGGGTAGACCTGAGAATTGCATGAGATAGAGCAGGTAAAGGGTTAGCCCAGCTCTTGACTTAGCCAAGAACTCCACACATTCTGATGACTGGTGCCCTGTGTGACTGTAAGCAATGACGCTTTCCCAGGACAGCAGTTGCCCCAGCTATGCAATGGGCATGATGTTCCAGCAGGCTGGGGAAGCCAGGAGAGCACTGCAGATTGGGTCATGCCCTATTGAAGGGCAGCAGCTACAGATATGGGAAGCTGTCTGGGGCTGTGGTTGCTGGTAGCAGGGGAAATGTGAATGTCCCAGAAAGGAGCACTGTTTTTTCCCCCAGAATTTTCTTCCGTTTTTGTAAGAAAACAGAAAGAAGAATGGTCTTAGCAAAAAGGGGAAGAAGTTAAGAGTCCTATCACGTTTTCTTGGTGGTAATTTTTTTTTCCTTCTGGGAACCTCAAGCAGTAAGGGGAGATAGGGATCTGGTTGAATCCACAAGGGCTGGTAAGGACACTGTTTAGAGGGTGAATTGGAGAAACCGAGGCAGAGTCCAGTTGTCTAGCCAAGGACACACAGCCAATGAGAACCAACCTCTCCCAGCAATGCAAATGAGCCAGGAACAGTACTGGACCTCCATGTCTCCTCTATGCTCTATAGGCCCTCTCCCTGGTGAACTTGGAGTTTCTTTCTGACCTTTAATTCCCTGAGCCACCAGTGCTAGCTCTGTCAATGGAGACTGAAGGAGGGTCTATAAGATGATGTCAAGGAGGGACAAGATGGGGGATAGAACCTAGGTCCTCTTCCCTGGGGAAAAGACCAGTGGTTAGAGAACCAGGGGATCCCGATGCTCCCCCTCCATGGGGACTTGGCCACTCCCTTCCTCTCCCCCCCCGCCCCCCCGCCACCCCGGGGCCTATTGGGAGCTCTTGGCCTCTCTTTGGGCAAAGTGCTCCAGTCCACATCCTACCAGACCCTTGACCCTGGGCTTCAGGAAACAGAAGCCTAGAGAAACTCAGCATGTGACCCCTCCCTGGGCCCCAGCTCCTGAGAGGAAAATTCTCCTCCCACGCCATCATTCACACTCTCTTCAGGAAGAGCTTCCTCATAGCAGCCACCCAGAGCCTGGGCTGCAGTGCAGTGCAGACAATAGTCCTTGCCTGGCACTCGACTGGCTTTTTCTTTCCCTTTTTGTGGGTTTTATAATTTTTGTTGCAGGTGGGGCTGCCAGGGATGGGTTATGCCTGCAGGGAGAAAAATGATCAGAAGAGCCACAATTCTACCCTCAACCCAGGGAATGTGAGCTTTTATTGCCTCCATTTTCTTAACCAGAAATCTGGTTTAGTTTTGCTTTCAGGGCTCTTGTCATTGGAAAAAGATTACTGCTCAGAACCTGCAGCCCAGAAATGGCCCAGTCTTATCCCTCCAGGGAGACTCTGCTCCTCCGACTGTGTGGGGAAATGCCGTCATGGGCTTGTGCCCAGCATCCACCCTGCCAATGATGACAATGCTGATAATCGAGGCATTCATACCAACCGCCATTAAGGGAGCGTTTACGGAGACATCCCCCCAAACAGTGGCCTCTTTGGCAGCCCTGGGAGACAGCCTTGGAAAGGGAGAACTAAGGGCCGAGAGAGGCAGCAACTTGCTCAAGGTCACAACTGGCCAGACTGGGCCCAGTTTCCTGCCTGTTCCCATGGTGGCTGCATACCCTGCTCTATCCCACCGCAGTTGGAAGAGGACTCCAGAATGAACGGCGGCTCTGAATAGTGGAGTCAGGATCTTATTTTGACTAGTTTCAAGGTCTAGTAAAGCACAGTATCCAAGGAGGCTCAGTCCAGCATGGGCATGAGCTAGGCCTAGAGAAGCAGAAGAGAAATTTGGGCAAGTAGTAAATAAGACTGCCAAGTCCATTGTCAGGACACCCAGGAGAGGTAGCCTGCCCTGCCTTAGTCTATGGGAGAGGCCCAGACACCATTATGCTGCTGGGTTTCCCAAGCTGGCACCAGGAATTTAGTAGCTGATGAATCCAAGGAGCCCCCAAGCATCATCTGGCATTTTTTTTTTTTTTTTTTTTTT